TTAAAGCAATAGGGTTGAAGTATATTCATGCCTGCTGCACATACGTTCAATAAAAATGATTTCCCTCTCAGCAACATTAAGAATAATCAAATTATTGGCTTTCAATTATTTAACGTCATACAGTCACGGTTCAATAGAGCTACAAACTAACAGTAATGCCAAGTGGACCTCTCACTTTGCACAGAGCGGGTGACAACATGGCAGGTGGCGTCTCGTTTTCCTATTAGTCTGCAGAAGCCAAGTGAGATAGGCCAAGGAATGCAACGCACACATAGAGCATGCATGTGACCGGCTGCCAGTTATGTGTCACAGCTTAAGCACATTAAGCAGTGGATGGATTTATGAAAAAGCATTTCAAAAAGCCCCCAGACAGTTAAAGAATTCCAATTAGCCTACTAAATATGAAGCAATTTCCCTTTTACATAATTTCTAATAAGTCCTTTAAATGAATGATAGTTTTTGTGTCATCACCAGTTCCTATTTGAAGTTCACCTTCTTATTTCTTTTCCTGTAACTGAAATTAATTCCAAAAAAGCAACAAATTGTTCAGGATCCAATTAAAACTACAATATGTAATTTTAATGGACATCTAATGGTCAAACTGCAGTGAGATGAATTACAGAGCAATGAAATTAACTCTCTGCATTTAACCCATCCCTTTGGGCAGCAGTGGGCTGCCATTGTGAGGCCCCCAGGGAGCAGAGTGGCAGTCTGTGGGAGTGGGGTTTAAACTCAGAACCTCACTAGGCCGCCACTCCCTCAACATTTAAGTGTTTTTAATTTGTTTTTGCAAACTATATGTGCATTCTGAGCTGGTGCGAGTTGGTTATAATTGTAAGAAAGATTCCTCATTAAAGGCAAAGTAAGTTTATTTCTGTAGTTTAGTGGCAAAGTCATTCATAGTACTCTACATAAGTAGAAAAGGATAAGTACATTTAAGTGGCATAGGGGCAACAAAATTTAAAGAGAATAAAAGTAATTGCTGTAAAATAAGATGATTATATGAAAAAATTTAAAGAATTGATTTAATGAGAAAAAAACTTTTTTTTCTTGTTCTAATGATCCCGTGGATCTAAGAGCTTCTAAAACTATATTAGAGTAAGATACTGTAAATATTTCTTTTTTTCTTGTACTTTTAAAGTTAAACATAGCCAAGAGGTACAAATTCTCTCTTATTCAAACAACTTCTTCATCCCACACTGATATATACCAGTATATTAATGGTGCTTCTAATATTAATAATATTTACTACAATAATAATGAGCAGCAAATACAAAAATACTGTAAATGCAAAGAATGAGACTAACAAACAAAACACATGTAAAGAAGAAATGCTGCAATTACAAAATACAGAGAGCAGGAAAGTGCAAACATGCTGCAAACACGTAAATGATGGTAAAACTCAACCACATGAAAAGTAAAGATGTTGCAAATAAAAAAAACAACCTAAGTTAGCCAAATAGTGCCAGTGGTAAGGAAGGAGCTAGGAAGAGGAAGCAGGATGCTTCCTATCAATAGTTAATTTAGCATAGGGAGCTCCTGACGTTCCTCTGTGCCATATAGGAGCTATGAGGTTACATTGTTCATGACATCTACTCTGTGTAACACATTGTAATCTACACACCTTTATACGTTTTGGGTTTTATATTTGCAGCACTTCAGCTGTTTGCTACATTTGTGTAACTTTTTTTATGTAGTACTTTTTTTAAAAGGCTGTAGTCCCAATAATGACGTCTCTGAGTCTGAAGGCTGTCCGGATTCCGCACAGCAGTCCAGAGTTTCTTTCCTTTCCCACACTGGATAGCATTTTTACTGTTGCCTCTGCAGAATGTAAAGGGGTAGGAGCTAAAAGCAACAATATGCCAGATTTGGAAGGAGTTTTCTATTGAATCGTTTACACTTGATCTCTCTGAAAATCCAATTTATGTCTTTACTAAAAGTCTGGAGCAGATCTGTTAAGCAGAGCCTGTTTGCAGCTTTTATTAACTTGCAGATGATTTTGCTGCCTGCATTTTCCATTTGCATCTCTATTTTTGTTTTTTGGACTAGTCCACTTTTTGTGTGTTATTTAAAAATTTACAGAACTTTTTGTTTTCCCTGAACATTCAGGATTTGCAAGGCATTTGTACCCTACAGCTACCGTAGCTATGTAACAAAGGATAATCTTTTTAGCGTCATGGCTGATCAGCAATATTTATGGAAGCTTAAAAGAACCGCTATTTAAACTGACTTAACACAATCAAGACATCATAAACTAAAGATATCTACTCTATATGTTTGACTTTGCTTCATACACTAGAGTAAACAGTGAAGAGTTTTGTTCCTGTAAAGCTTTAGATGCAGGAAATTGAAGTAATACCATGCTTAAGTCAAGCTAACCCCATCTGTCAGCTGGTGCTACTTCACTGATTAGTTAAACTGCAGAGTCAGAGCAATGTGTATTATTGGTTACATTTAGATTCTCGCATAAATAACAGCCTAACACATCCGTAGCTGGATTGGTATCACTGTCAGCTCCGATATCAGGGCTGTGTTGGTGGAAATTTTTAGCCTTCAATATTCTCATGGGAACTCAGCTGCGTTGGGGGAACATTGTGTGAAGTTGCAGCTAAGTGTAATTATAAATACAAACAGCGTATTCACTTCTACCGCACTTGGAAAAGAGTTCGGTAGAGTTCACTTGCGTCATATTTTCTAATGTGCCTTTTTTTTCCTCTCTCAATTGTTTTAGATTATCTTAAAACTTTAATGTTTGAATAAAGAATCATGTAAAGAAGCATTTTTTGAATGGATTTATAGAAAGAGGAAGGCAGACTAAATCCACCTGGCTCTTCTTTGTTTAATTGATAAGATTTTATTCTAATTCCGCCTTATTATCACCACAATCCCAGAATCAAGAAATTGCAGAATTAGAACCTAACAACATGAAAAAGGCTAAAAAATGTCACAAAACAAGTCAAGTTCTACAGGGTCAGCTTTCTGCACTGGTTCTGCTGACCCGGCTCCCTCGATTGTGGTCGGCTGGAATAAATTCTATACAATTTTAGAAACTAAGTGGCCGGTATCTATCGCTTTAAAATGGGTTATAAAGCTATTTTAAAGCTGTAGAGCTCGACTGGAGGACAAGAGTAGAGCTTTGTAGAAGGCGATAATATTTTTCTCTGTCAGGTCGTTCAAATCTTTAATTTAATCAATGTTAGTTCTCTGGCTGTATACTATATATATATATCGACTGGTGGATTTTCTATTTATGTTCAGGTGAATTTAGTAAGTTTGGGAATTGATGTTTACTAGTCTTTTTTGTGTTTATTTGATGGATTCATTTATTGTTGTTTGTCAAATTGTCTGTCTGCATGGGAGAAGGTTTGCATAGGGACCATAGGTTTGTTCAATTAATATTAGGCTACATAACTAGTCCAAATGAAAAAAAAATCAATTCTATCTACACTTAAACAGGTGAAAGCTGCTGATTGCTGATTCTTAGCCACAGTAAACTGAAAAAGAAAATGTGAGGGTTTCCCCTTTAACAATACTTCAATGCAATTACTGTTTTCATTTTATGACAACTCTTTCAGGAAGTTCAGTTTTAAATAGCAGGTGTTATTTATATAACAACACGAGATGGTGCCTAAACATCTGATATTTTTTGTTTAGAAAGCATTATTACGGTTCCACGGTTACTATTTCTTTGACTATTTCTACTTTAAAAAATAGGATAAAGCCAATAACAAACAGAGGGAAACTATTTACATTGATTTTATTTTACATAGAAATTCCACAGTCCATAAGTTAATTAGTACAAACATTAATGTTTAGTAAAAATGCTGTTTATTTTGAATATTATTACATTACAGAGAACATGTTTTTTTTACATTTTCTTTTAATAATTGTTAAAAGTGATTTTATATTGAAATAAATTTAGTCTCATTCTTAGTGTTGTGTTTTGTAGATGATGCCACTAATTGTAAATACAATAAATGTATTTGCGTCCCTTGAATGTGTTATTTTGCGTTGTTTCATGATACAGAGAGAGCATTTAAAAAATAAGAGTGTTTTACCTGTTTGCCTTTGCACAATTATATATCTTCAAAAGAAAATACAGGATAAATCCACATATAACGGGCATATTTAGACTATATTTGGTTAAGTTGGCACATATTTACCCACTTTCTTAGTCACTGGTAATTTTAAATGCAAACCTTTTCAAAGTGGAAAAAAGTTCTAATTTCTCATTCATCAGAGCCGGTGATGCTTCAAACATTGATAAACAGCATCTAGTGTGTGTAGTGCTTATAAAATTAGCATAAATGTAGCAAGAAATGCTGCTTTTCTCTTTAAACGAAATGCACCCTGATGCTCGTGTCAAGCATAAAACAAGCATGCATATTTTTGCATTAGGTGCATTAGGTAAAATGACATTAATGAAACTTAAGACCAATACTGTCCCTACCAAAGTCGAAATCAAACCTACGCCCTTGTCTGTCTGAAATTGAAAATTGTCTGAAATAAATTTCTATTCTATTTTATTCCTCTTTTTACTGAAGAATACATTTGGCCGTCAGATAATGACCTTGAGTTACAATCACACTTTGGTTATAAAAACCATTCAATATTACCAAAGGCCACTTGCAAACACTCTATAAATTAATCAGTAAAATATCAACAAAAAGGAAGGATCCTGTCAAAGTCTAGTTTCTAACCAGCTTCAGATGCTGAACTCTTCACCAGTCCCTTGATGGCAGTGAAAATACTCCATAAAAACAGGAATTATGCTGTGAGACATTATTGGCAGACACACAAAACTATGTGAAGAAAAAACAAAAAAAGGCCTTGAATTCCTCCACAGCAATAAAAAAAAGACTAATTGATGGTCCAGTAGTGGCTTTTGCTCCCAGATTGGTTTCATTTCTGCATAATAAATGTAATATTAACAGTTTATTCTAAATTATAAATTCAGCTATCATTTCAAAAATGTCTTGTTATAGTGACTAGAGTTATCTTTAATTTAAAGGAAGAAGGCAAAACGAAAAGAAGCTGTGTTCCATCCACTGGAACCTTTAAAAACAATTCAATCTTACAATGCCAATCTGAGGTCAGCCAACATCCAGCAACGATTCTGACCCAGGGGTCAACACAAATAACAGCGTCTGTCAATCGGGGTCACAGTTTTTCCTCTTTGTGTTCCATCACATGCTGTTCAAGTTTTGCGGCACACTGGAAAGATTTGTCGCACTCTACGCAGACAAAGATCCTCCCAGCGCACGCTTGCTCTTGGTGGAGCTTCAGCTGTGTGACCTGGCTGAAGTTCTTGCTGCAGCCGGTGCAGCTGTGTGGCTTCTGGTTGTTGTGAATGAATTGGTGGCGTACCAGGCGGGAAGCCATGGCAAATGCCACACCGCACTCCCCACACTTGTGAGGCCGGACTCCGCTGTGGATGGCTTTGTGCTCTGTCAGGTTGGAGGATTTCGTGAAACACTTGGAGCACACGGAGCAAACAAACGGACGTACTCCCATGTGGATTTTCTGGTGCTCCACCATGCGGCTGGCCAGAGCGAAGGTTTTCCCACAGTCGGGACAGGAGAAGGGTCTTTCCCCGAGATGCTTCCTCTCGTGGCGTTTCAGGGAGAGAGGTTTGTTGAAGGTCTTGCCACAGTGTGTGCATGGGAAAGGCTTGTTGTTGGTGTGCATGTTCCGCTCATGCTTTCGCAGATCAGAGGAGCGGATAAAATCCTTTCCGCAGGTTTCACAGATGTACGGTTTCTCGCCCGTGTGTGTGCGGATGTGCTTGCGGTAATCCGAGGACCAGATGTACGTTTTGTCACAGAAGGGACAGCCGTATGGTCTTTCCCCAGTGTGCAAACGCTTGTGCTGCTGCAGCGTACCCTGATGTGAGTAAGCCTTTCCACATATGTCACACACATGTGGCTTAAGGCCAGAGTGAGTTTGTAAGTGGCTCTGGAGGTTGCAGAACTTTTTGAAAGCCCAGTGGCAGCGAGTGCATTTGAAGGGACGCTCCTCAATGTTCAATGGACTCCGTCTTTTCATGGCAGCCAAAAGTCGTGGGACTTTTTCATCTTTACGTTTTTTAGGTGAATTATTTGCTGAGGGGCTTTTTCTGAGTCCTCCTTTGGTCACAGTATGTATTGAACATGGTGACATGGATCCACTGTGGACTTGCTTCATGGGGACTTCTACCTCTTCCTCTGATGAAAGCTCAGCAAACCTCTCCACAAGAGACCAGTCTGGTGTTTGAGGATTGAGATAAAGAACTCCATTTTCAAAGCTCTCAGCAAGCAAGTCTTCATCAGTACATGCAGTCCCGAATGAAGTTTGGCTCTTCAGATTGTCAGAGTTACTCACATTATGTCCATCAGATAGAGAATGAGTGACACAGATTCTTACTTGAGGTTTCTTTTTACTTCTTTTCCCAGCAACTGTCCCTTTAGACATCTGTAGGATCAGGAAAAAACACCCTTTAACAGAATGACATCTAATATCAAAAGCTTAATATAAATGTACGATTCATTGTAATCAAAATGGATATATGTTTACATCATTTTTAAAGGCTGAACATGTCTTACAGTGCGTTCTCACTCCAAGCAGGCCAGGTCCCAGAGATGCCACAGACACTCTAGCTCAGGGTCTTGAATAACTCTGGGAAAGATGTCCTTACGGGCGGAGTTTGGCAGCAGTCGTCTCTGGGTCAGCATCTATCCTGCAAGTCAGCAGCAACGGGGATATCTTCACAGCCAGGCCCCCCTTACCTCCCACTGACCTGGTTAACCAGCTGTTTGCAAAGGTTGTAAACTAAGTTACACACACAGTCAAACTGAGCGAAATTGAACGTACAGAGAGGCTTTCTTGAGTTTATGGTTGAAAGTGTTTGAACTTGTGACTTTTGGATTATTCACTGCTATTTTAAAACTTGCCCAAAGTGTAAATTAGAAATATGAATAGCTTTTTTTCTGGCTGCACATTTTACTGTCAGCCACTCAGGCCAGTATTTAATATTTAATTTAATTAATTATTAAATACTAAAGCTAATTGAACTTTAATTAGTTTAGTTAGCTGGTTAGATTTTTCCAAAGACTACACTGAATCCACTTCAGAACTACATTAAATCTGTATTTAATATTAGAAGAAAATGTCATGGAAAAGTAAACAGTATAAAATAATAACTTAAGAATTGGAGAATTGGAACATTTTAAGCTTTTAGGGACCAGTTCTGAGGTAACCTTGTGAAAGTTGTCTAACTTTCAGTCAGCGGATTGTAACATTTGTGTCTTTCATAGTCAAACTTTCAGATCTGGAAACATGAAACCCCTGGACAATAGGTCAAGTGTCAACTATAAATCTTCATTGCCTCAGGAGTGCACAGAGACAAAAATATCAAATGTTTGTGTGAATAAAAAAAAAAAAGCCTTGAAGATGCTGGTTTTGAGGCAAACAGATATAATGGTTCTGGTAAGTTTATGGCAGAACTCTTTGTCCCAACTGAAAAACCATTTATACCTACAGATTTTTTTTTTCCAGGTTAAGGGAAGCTCTAGGGGGCGCTGTTGAGTCGCTCTGTCAAACTAGATGCTCAGTCTACCTTCAGGAAATGATGTACATCACAATAATAGCTCATATTAATACAGAAGAGGATTAGGGAAAAAAAAACAAAAGTTAACTGATTTTTAAATTTTATTTCAGTTAGTATGGGAAAAAAGTCAGAATTCTGACTTTAATCTCAGAATTCTGACTTTTTTTCTCAGAATTCTGACTTTTTTCTCAATTCTGACTTTTTTTTCTCCAGAATTCTGACTTTAATCTCTGAATTTTGGAGCTTAATGTAGATGGGCATCATGAAGGCAGAGATGTGGAGCACTCAGCTTCACTGACAAAGATGTGAGTTGTTTGAGGTG